GTGGAGGACATTGCCATGGTCTCTAGGTCTCTAGCTGGACTTGTGCAGGACATTGTCGTGGGATCCAGGCCCTCAGCTGGGTTCTTTGGGTGTCCACTACATGGACAGATTGCCTAAACTCTTCTGCATTTGACTCTTCAGATGAATGTTATCAAATAATCCTATAAATTGTGTGTTTTCTATCAAATCTTTTCCCTTATAAACCCTAAGTATACCAGACAGGTAGATCTGGTCATTAAATCTTGATATAGCTTCTGCCATAGCAACCATTAAAGAATAGTAGCCATGGCTCTATGGCTTTCCATGCCCTTGGGCCTCAACAAGGGCTACAAGGTGACTGAGAATGTGAGCAAACTGAGGCTCAATCACCACTGCGGACGTCTCATCAAACACACCAAGTTCATGCAGGACATAATGCGGGAGTTGTATAGCTTCACTCCCTACGAGCGGCACATCATGGAGCTGCACAAAGTCTCCAAGGACAAAGGTGCCCCAAGTTCATCAAGAAAAGGGTTGCAACGCACATCTGGGTCAAGAGGAAACCTGAGGAGCTAAACAATGTGCTAGCCACCATGAGGAAGGCAGCTGCCCAGAAAGACTGAGCCCCTCTGGAATAAAGCTTTGCAAAAAAAAAAAAAAATCTTGATCTAGGTGCTGGTCTTTGACAGATCCACAATTCTGATGGCTTTATTTTTCTGCTCACTTGCCTGAGAGAACCCAGTCCCATTTTAAAAAAAGAGAGAAAAAAAAAAAAAAATATATATATATATATATATACACAGGAATTGTACTCAAGACCTTGGGATTGCCAGGAAGGCACCTGTATAGCTGAGCCAAATCTTCGGCCCTGAGTATATATTAATTTCTCTCTAAATTGTTTTCTTCTGGGGCTTGAAATACTTTAATCCAAGTTCTCTTTGACTTCAACGTTTGTGTTGAAAAGTCTCTTGAGATATTGATGTTTTTTTTAAATTATTGATTTGGTACAGGGTCTCATTACACAGCTCAGATTTGTAGTGATCCTCCTGTCAAAGCCTCCCCAGCGCTGGGATTACAGGTGTGTGCCACCATGCCCAGGGTTCATGGGCCAGCACGACATGAGGTACTTGGAATTGAACCCAGTCCTGTTGCGTGGCAGGCAGGCAGGTGCTTAGACGGCCGAGCTATCTCCTCAGCACTGGGATGAGTTTTGATACACGTAAGAAGGAATATCAGTGCCGCACACAGGGGTACAAGGCTGTGATCCTGTGATCCTTTGAAGCAAGAGGAATGAGGCCTGGACTACATTAGGGAGTCTGTGCCTCAGAGAACCAAGCAACGCAAAAATTATGCTAACCTAATACAAATTAAAGTGATAGTATTAACCAGTTTAAACACACACACACACACACACACACACACACACGGACAGAACAGAGTAACTACAAAAAATCTAGAAACTGTGTTCACATTCATATAAAAACAAAAAGAGGGTGGGTGAGACAGTTCATTGGCCTAAGGGCCTGCTTAGGCAAGCTCAGACAAGTGCAGAGACTTTGGTTAGATCCCTGGGAACCTCATCTCGCCAGCCCTGCCCCCAGGGTGTGCTGAGCCAGCCACGGGAGGGGGTTGGACCAATCAAGAATAAAGAAAACAAGGGCTGGAGATTTCATTCAGTGGTAGAAAACTTGCCTAGCAAACTGGTAGCCCTGGGTTTGGCCTTGGCACCAAAAACAAAAACAAACAAACAAAAGAATTAAAAAAACAAATACAAGAAAAGAGGGGAAAAAAATTTTAAATGTCCATTTCAAGACAGGTCTCTGCTGTCAAACAACATGGGCACAGTCCAGGCCCAGGTTGATTAATCCCAGCAAGCCAGCCGTAGATTTATGGTGGGTTAGTGGAGAATCCCAGCAAGCCTGTAACTTGAGTTCCACTGAAGTTTGGGCTGGTTTGTTTGTTTGTTTCAAGCTCTGCAGGTTTTATTAATGAAAAATTCTGCTTGGTTTCTTTTTCCCCGGTCTGTTCTGGCATGCTTCTAATGATATCAGACTCTCCTGGATCCATGATTGCCAGTGTGCATACTCTGTACTATTTTCCATATGCTGTGCCCAGTTCGATATTATTGCCGCTGTAGTGGTGGACACCAGGTTTGGCCAACATGGCATAGTACTCTATTTCAGATTTCCTCAAAGCTGGGCAGTTGTTGGCAAGGATGACCAATTTCGCTTTGCCCTGTCCAATCATCTTCAGCATCTGCTTGTGCCCCAGCATGTATTTTCCACTTTTCATAACAAGTTGGAGCCTAGAGTTGATGGACTCCAGAGATTTCTTTGTCTTCTTTGCGGCCACCATCTTCCTGTCTTAGGTGTGGACACCCTCAACCAAGAGCAGCCACCGAGATGGCTGGGGAGCGAGAAACAAAGGAACTGCGCTGGTTTTTTCTATGAGGCTGGAACCCCGTTTGTTTAGCTTACAACGCCGTGTGTCCCACCCACTGGCTGAACTCAGCTCCCTGACCTCCTGCTTGAATGTGGTTCCACCTCAGGCCTAACGCTGGGAGCCACTGTACAGGGCCAGCCCACAGCTGCTCTGAGTTCCAAGCTCCTTTGGCCCCTCTCCAAGACAACTCCTGGCCAGAAGCCCTCTCTGGAGAATGTCTGACCCTGAAGGACTCACTAGCCACTACAGCCTGCTGTGTCTGCTGCGTCATTCCACTGGACCATTTCTCCATGGAGGCCTCTGGCTTTCACCCATAGTTACCTTGTATTTTATAAATCTCTCATTGCTGAGACAAAATACCCGATACCCAAATTAAAGTGGAAAAGTTTATTTAGTTCACACTCGATGGCAGCTTCAGTCCATAATTAGCTGACTCCAAAGCAGGTAGCACATAGCAAAGAGGCAACACATGGCAGCAGAAGATAGCAAAAGCAACGACAGAAAGAAGGGATACAAGCCTCTTTCTGTCCTTTATATTGTATCCAACCTACTAGGATTAGGCAATACCAATCCGTTCACTAGACTAATCCAACTATTCCCCACCCTTAATCCTACCAGCCTTAATCCAAGTATTGAAAAATGAATCAATCCCATAATCTAGATTCAGCCACCTTTCAATAAGCCCCATCTGGTCCAGGGGATAGCTTAGTGGAATAAGCACCTGCCTGGAAGGTGCAAGTCCCTGAGTTCAATCCCTGGTTCCGCAAATCAGTAAATAAGCCCTCTCTAAAACTGAATGAGGTTTTGTCTGGACACATAAACACAAACCATAATGCTGTGCATCTGCAGGTTTGAGCTGCCCCCCGCCCCACATAGTGAGCAGGGCTAACTCAGTTCTAAAAGAATCGAGCACCATGAACTAACAGGGTTAAGAACAATATAATACACTGAAAACATAAGCTGATGAACAGGGATAGAGAGAAATAATGGACCCAGATGATGGACTGGTCTGGAATCTCTGGAGCAACTCCACATAGAAATATTTTCTATTGTTACCTGTTTTGGTGGTGACTGTGGGAGAGAGTTTGAGACTAGGTCTTGCAATGTAGTTCAAGATGTAGTTGAGCTCATATGCAGCCCGGGCTGGCCTAAAACTAATGGTGATCCTCCTGCCTCACCTCCTGAGTGCTGGGATTATAGGCATGGACCACCACACTCAACTATGGTTACTTTTATGGAATGAAAATCTCTGCCAAAGGGAAATTCAGAGAGCTTTTCAAACTAGAGTTCAGAGGTCATTAAGAAAAAAGGCATTGTTACTGGAGTTTAAGGCAAAAGCCCCAGCTCAGAGGTCTCAAGAGACCATGCTCAGCTATAGGTGCCTTGAAGCCAACTGAAGAGAAGAACAGGCGAGAAAATCAAGAAGGAAATTTATGCAGCACTGCCATGCTGCAAAGCAGAGTGAGTTTGCAGATCTGTGTTCAAGGGACTGATAGAACTTTGGGGTTGGACTGGGGAGATAGCTCAGCAGTTTAAGCGCCTGCCTGACAAGTGCAAGGACCCAAGTTCGATCCCCAGTGTCACATGCCATGCCTGCCTGGGAACCCTAGGAGTGCCATGCAGGCCTGAAACCAGGCATGGTGGTGCATGCCTGTTATATCAGTGCTAAGAAGTATGAGAAAAATCTGAACTGCATAGGAAGACCCTGTATCAAGAAAATTTTTAAAAAAGAAAGAAATTTGGTGTTTGTTGAACATAGGAACAAAGGTGAGGGCTGGGATTTGCATAGCTACAGTTCCCTGCCTCCTGGTCTAGTTGGGGTCTAGTTGACTTGTATCTCAGGGTGTGCTACGTGAGGTTGTGGGAGAGCTACTTAAGAAGGAGAGGTCTCTTCCTGTCATGAGATCCAAGATCCCACATAGGGGAGCATCCTTGGTTTCTGTGCTGGAATAACTTCCTGTGTGGGGAGTGACCACATTGTGGGGCAGTCTGGAAATTTCTGCTTTTCCTGGAAGCTGAGGTGACTGCAGGTTTTGGACCATGGAGATGTCTAGGCATCACAGCTGGTGCTCTTGAGGTACACAACCAAGAGCTAGCAGTTAGATGTTCCTGGAAATCTAGAAAATTACAGCTAACCTATTGACATACGTTTCAAGTTCTTGGACCTGAACTTACCTGGTTGTTCCAGAAGCCTAAAGTCAAAGGGGCAAGCTGGCCCTTTCCATGTAGCAAAGGTGAGTGTCCTCAGCCTTGAAGGGAATGAGCAGGCTAGTTAAATTTAGATCCACAAAACTTTGTATTATACTGTGTCCAACAGGCTGTGCTGGCCTTGCCCCTGGGGTGCGCTGGGCTGGCAAAGTAGTCTAGGGGTGGTGGGGCACACCTGTAATTCCAGCACTGGGGAGGCTGAAAATAGGAGGATCACTAAGAGTCCAAGAGACGTAATGAGACCCTGTACCAAATACATAAATGAAAGAGAAAAAAAACCCTTGTATTACAGACACTCCTTATGTATTAACACGCCGACCCAGAGAGGTGAGCTGATCCACAGTTTGAAAGTAATATATAAGACTGACATGGTGCTCACTTCTGCAGCACATACACTGAAAGCTAAAATGATACATCGAAGATTACCAGGACCCCTGTGCAAGGAAGACATGCAGATTGGTGAAGTACCCCACATATTAAAAAATGAGACAGACACAAACATTGAAGGTGGAAGCCAGACTTGGTGGCCTATAACTGTAATTCTAGCCCTGGGGAGGTTGAGGCAAGGTCAGCCTGGGCTATGTACCAAGACTATCTCAAAAAATAGAAAAAACAAAACAAACAAAAGCAGATGAAGGCAGGCATGTTTCACTCTGCTTTAGCCACCCACTGGATAGATGCAGGCCCCGTCTCTAAGTCCCTCTACAGATCTGCACACTTCTTATTTGCTACATGGAAAGGTGAGCTTTTGGCCAGCTTGCCCCTTTGACTTCAGGCTTCTGGAACAACCAGACAAGTACAGGTCCAAGAACTCAAAATATATGTTAATAGGTTAGCAGACTCTTAATTTATGGACATTTTCCTAAGTATACTCTAGTTTTCTTTATCATCCATTGGTAGCAAGTCGCTATCATGTAGCTCTTATTCTTTTTCAACATTAAATAGAAGTTTTTCCAGCAAAGGAAATATTCTAGATGGTGAAGTAGCGACTGACAGGCAGTTGGAAAGAGACCAGGCCCAAGATAGTCAGAACAGAGATAAGGCAAACCAGGCCAGGAGTCAGGAGCCAAGTTGACAGAAACTGGGCCATAAGATGGGGACAGGATGGCTAGGACTGCAAGCCTTTCCAGAGGTAAATCACAGCTCAGAGCTGTTCTGTAACTGGCCCCATTTGGTCCAATAAGTCTGAACAATACAATATACACGTGAGAACAATGTAATGAACACACAGATAGTCAACTAGAACATCCTGATCTGAACTCCTACCCTTTTCAGACATGCCTTTTTGCTTCTCTGTACTACTTTTGCTACATATCTATTTTTTCTATTAAGGCAATAGTAGATAAGTCACTGTACTTGTAAACCTATAGGTTTACTGTAGTTTGTTTTGTTTTGTCTTTTTGTGACAGGGTCTCAATATGTAGTCCAATCTAGACTTGAATTCTCTTTGTAGTCCAGGATGGTCTCAAACTCACAAAGATTCTCCTGCATCATCCAGAGCTGGGATTACAAGGGTGGGCCACCACGCCCAGCTTGGTTGACTCTAGTTTGACCAGTGGTAATCTGTGATGTGATTTGATTGTAGAACCTCTCTTCCCATTCCCCACCCTCTACAAATAGCCTCAGTGACAACCCACTCTCAGGATACCTACTGTCTCTCAAGAACTTTCTCTTCATAAAACATTTTCTACCTTTAACTTCCTTTGTTAGAGACTCTATTATTCAGTATCCTGAAACATGAGCTCCATATCGCTAATAGATTGGAAGTCACTTCCTTCTAACAGAAGTTTTGCTGCTTTGTAATAAATCAATATTGCTTAGCTGTGTATGTTCCTACGCTCTCTACTTCCTTCAGAATATTCATTTAGTGTTATTGGAGCTGTTCTTTTCGCTAATGTGGCTGATTATGTGCCTGTAATCATACCACTCAGCAGTCTCAGGCAGGAGGACCAGCAGTAGTTTGAGGCCAGCCTGGGCTACATGGTGGGTTCAAGTTCAACTTGAAATGCATAGTGAGACCCTGTCTCAACAAAATAAATAAAATTGGGGCTGGCCAGATAGCTCAGAGGACTAAAGTGCTTGCTTTGGCAGAGCGCAGCAGCTGAGGTTCAATCCCCAGGGCTGCCATGCAGGCTCTCCCGGCTGGTGCAGGCTAAGACCTCGATTGAGATTGGGCGTGGTGGTGCTCTTGTAATCTCTGCACTTGGAAGGCTGTAAACAGGAGAATCACTATGAATCCATTCTAGTTGTGGGACTCTGAACACCCTGATACTCTTCCCCACAAAAAAATAATAATCATAAAATTAATAAAACAGAATAGAATAAATTAACCAATGTTTTCTGAATTATAATTTCTAAGACAATGGGAAGAGTTAGTGTTCAAATATAATAATGAGTATTATAGTAGCAAGAATACAAATTATTCCAAAGAATTTGAAGGCAAATGTCCAATTTAAGCAACAATAAAAAAACCTTGCATGTTTTATTCATCCATTGAACTAATATTTACTGAAATCCTACAGTGTTCTAGGCACTGTATTGATTGATTGATTGATTGATTGATTGTACCAACTTGAGAAGTTTAGAAACTTAACTCAGATGGCTCAGCAACTAGACACCCTGAGGCGTAGAGGCCCCACCCTAGGGTGGCTCATCCCTTAAAGGATATAAAAGTGAACTGGGGAAGGAGGGAGTGCTCCTTTTCCCCCGGAGGAGCTCCTGTCCTTTCTGTCAACTTGGATGTCATCTTCTGGCATCCAGAGCAGACTCTTTGGCTTCTGCCTTGGATCCTTCAGCCTTCCATCCTGGACGTACTGGCCTCCTGATACGGACTTGCATGGAGCACTGTAGTGAGCTCCAGACCTTGGACTGAGTCCTTCAGTCTCCAGTGTGCAGACGCCCACCACACACTTTCTCATCTAACTCTGTGGCTGACCCGTGGTAAGTGAATTTTTAAAAATTATAGTTATTTATTTTTCTTATTTACTACAGGTTATACAGGATCTCACTACACAGATTGGACTCCTAGTGATTCTTCTGTTTTCAGCCTCCCAAGTGTTGGGATTACAGGGGGCAGCATTACACCCAGTCTCAATTGCCATTTCAGTGAGCCCAGGGGTGTGGCCCTGGCCTGTCCCAGCATACCAGGGATCATACCCGGGCCACTGAACTCTGCATAAGCAGGTGATTTAGTCTGCTGAGCTATCTGGCCTGTCCTAGAGAGCAGTGTTAATGACTACAAATAGACTTACTATGCAGTATACAAATATATCTCATTTATACAATAACCAAATGTCATTTAAGCAAAGCCAGTACATATACATTAAGTTTTAAATGGCAGGATCAGATTTAAAGACATGCCAAATTTTAATCATTTTTTGTGTCTGAATTCTAGATATATATTGTATGAAAGACAGCACCTGCAGTTAGTTTGCATATATTAAACTTTTGTAGTCTTTGCTCTATAAACAACTTTAAAGCTTAGACTCACAGCATATCTTGTGTTTCAGATGTATATGTACATATATTCCCAAGTATATAAATGCTCATAAACTAAGATAATAGTTATTTATTTAACCAATCATAAGCTGATTATTGAAAATATTTAATAAGTTAACATTTAAATACTCTTTAACTCTTAAAGCCCACTTTTAGTAACCAAACACCAAAAAGTATACAATCTTTCTTTTAACCTAGTAAGTTTAACCAAGAGTATCTTAAGAAATACATTAAGAAGTATCTTAAGAGATCCATATTATTTTAGACATAGAAAACTTAACCTTTTAATTTAACTTTGATTATTTATTGATTTATTTATTTGATGCAGGGTCTCTCTATGCAACTCAGACTTGTAGTGATCTTCCTGTCTCAGCCTCCCCAGCACTGGGATTACCGCTGTGCACTACCACACCTGATTTCAGTATGGGGTATCAAAGTCATGTACTTGTGTTTGCCAGGCATAAGCTTAGGCCGCCAAGCTATCTTCTTGGCCCCTTAACCTTTTAATTTTAGCAAAATAATTACTTTAAATGATTCAGTATTGGGCCTGGGGAGATACCTCAGTGGCTAAAGTGCCTACTTTGCAAGCACAAGGTCCTGAATTCCATCCCCAGTAACCCCCAAATAAATAAATGTATGATTCATTATAGTAGCTAACAGGTTTTTTTTTTGGTATGGATAATTTTTTTAATTAATTTTATTGAGAAAGAAATAGCAATGAGTTTCAAAACAGGTTAGTAGCACAGTTGCATTAATCAATACATTGCATAGTTTTGTCTTCTAGTAGTTATTCAGAGTATAAGATACAGATATGATATATTGTTTAAATACTATTAGTACAAGTCCTTTTTCTCATTGACTAAGAGAAAGTAGCTGTATATCTATCCTTGGGTTTTTTTGTTTTTGTTTTTGTTTTTTTCTTCAGTACTGGGGATCGAACTTAGGATACTATGCTTGCCAGGCAAGTGCTTACTCTACTGAGCTATCTTCCCAGCCCCCTATCTTGTATATACAGATATTATTAACTTTATTGAAAATCAATAATTATATATCAAATTACAACTTATAGACAAATATTGAAATGTGAAAGATACAAGATGAAGAGTGAATTTTAGAGTAATATTTCTGAAATAAATGCACAACATGATAGTAGTAATAGATTGCACATTGTAAAAAAATTATTTACAAACTTAAATGAATATAACAACAAAAGTTGTCCGAAATAAACATGAAGAAGAAAAAAGTTCAACTTTTTCTGCACAAGAACCTGGAAATGCACAAACTTCAGGGATACTTTTTCTGAGAAGAATGTACAAATTCCAACTCCAGGCCTAGTGGGGCTGTTTGCTCCAGTTTCCAGTGTAAATTTTTAGTTGGAGTCTTGTGCTTCATTGTATGGGGGAACAGGCTTTGGAGTGCCCAGCTTTCCAAAGGGCCTGGATCTTAGCTGGCCTTTCACCACCAAGAATTGACTCTTAGAGTATCGGCCAAATAGCTTAGTGGGTTAAAGCACCTGGAAGCACTTGCAGGAGCCTGGAGTAAGATCCCAGGGCCTGCCCTGACGACCTAGCCCCCAGGGCGCTCTGAGACATCAATTGAGAATGGGTGTGGTGGCGAGCATCTGTAATCCTAGATCTTAGTAGGCTGTAAAAAGGCAGATCATGGGCTGGTGAGATGGCTCAGTGGTCTAAAGCACCTACTTAGAACAAGCTTAGCAAAGCACAGGGAC